TTTAAAACCATTATCACCTGGGTGACTATTAAATTTATGTTGTCGATTCCCAGTGTTACTAGTTTTAACTAGTTTTAATTTTTAACAGATTTAACCATAAAAGTTTTAATACCATCTTTACTAAAAAGACATTTGAATTCCTTATAACCTAAATTTAATGACCAGAGTTCAGAGATAAATTCTGAGCTATGTCCATAAATGACTGGCTGCTGTCAGCATTAGACAGCAAAAAATATTTAAACCATTTTTGTTTTAGCTTCATGCTTGTAATAAAATTTGCGTTCATACCAGAAAACACAGATAGAACTTTTTAAACAAGTATACATAATTATCTTTTGAGAAATAAACAAAACTTTTAAACAGAATTAACCTGGTATGGTCAAAATTTTTAACCCATATTGCCATTATAAATTTAGTATTTGAAGATATGAGAGCCCATAGCAAACAGTTTACTTTCTTCTCTGACACTTTTATGACTTTTCTTTGATCCTCTCTAATTTTTTTGTATTACCTTACGCTCTTTCTCTGATTCCCTCAGACATCCCCATCTTAGACAAACCTCTCTTTTTTCTTTGTCTCTTTCTTTCCCACTCTTATCAGTGACTCTCACTCAGGGGAGCATGGCTGAAGTGAATGCCTTATCTTCTTATTTTCCTCTAAATCCTGAGTGTACCTTTCCCTGAGCCTCTCTGCACCCTCTCTGCTTTCTCAACTGTTTGTTCCTTTTACAATTTATGTGGGGTTGACCAACTCTCCTTTTATGTTTTTTTTATAACTGTATAAATTTCTTACCTCCTTACAACTCTCCTGTTTTACCAGAGAATCAGAGTCATACTCTCAACACCGTAAACTCTTTCCAATGCTCTTCTGCGCTGCTTTGGTGTATTCTGTGGACATCTGAATTTGCACCCCTATTTGACCTGTCTTACAACCATTATTTTACCACATTTGGTTTTCTTTGCATCAGACTGATCAGACCAAGTCTATATATAGCCATCACATCTACATACCATCCCTCCTTTTTTTTTAGTTGACATAAAGACCTTTACCAAAGCCCCCTTTTTCTTAATAATAATATGTACCAATTATTTTTTAAAAAATGATGACAAAAACCTATATGTATTTTTTCCTGTGAAAGCAAAAGCATCATTTTTTAATGTATCTTTGACTTTTAGTTTAACGTCAAAGCTTCCCAAAGTATACAAAATGGCATAATTTAACATAATTTGGCTTAGGAAGAAAGGGAGGCAGTGCTGGTGGGCACAAAGTGTCCTTGGCTGCCAGTGTTTTGAAAAACAATTTTATTACCCTAATTCATAATAATTTGTAGCAAACCCTTGAATCTGATTGACCAGAGCATGCCTGGTGGAAGGAAGTCTGGCTACAGTGTCATAACAGGACCGGTAATTGCAGCTGCCTAACCTGTTTGGCTAGGAGTGGGCAACTTTCAAGTCAGAGTGCAGGAATCCCATCTGATAGCATGGGAGGGAGCCTTGATCGGCAAGTGAGCCAGTGAGTGTCAACTTTGGGGGACCAGGGCTTTCCTAAGAGCAGCAAGGTTTCTAAAGGTTCGCATGTGCCCTTTGGGTCCCACTAGCTGAGAAGTGCCTCCCCTGCAGCAGTCCTGCTCTCTGCACTCCACTGGACAACAGTGCAGGGGCAACACTGGGCAACATTCCCCGGTTAGCTCAGCAACATTGATGGCACCCCTCCCTCCAGCAGTCACAGACCTTCTGCGCCCACCTGGGCCCTGCAGGCTGCTAGACCTGCTGGGACCTCAGCTTCCCAGGAACGGATGGCCAGCTGGGCGCACTTAGACTTGGAGGCACTCGCTATTTGGCCAGTCCGGTGCGTGCCCCACGGGCATCTTTCTCCAGAGGCTTGTCATCTGTGCACCCACCACGGACAAACGCTTCAGTGAAGGATGCTTGCACCCATGCCAGGAGGTCACTGTCCTCCTGCAGGAAGGGAGGGGTGGGGCGAGTCCGGCTCAGCGCAGCTCTTGCACCAAGCCCCTGGACCAGACAGGGTGTCCACCGTTTTGCAGGCTTTTGTCTAGCCCTAGGAGCCTCCATCAGAAGGCCGGCAGCTCAGGCTGGGCTCGGTCCGCAAAGAGCCAGAGGATACCGTCCTCTGCTAGGCTGTAACTTCCCGTCTGGAGCTATTGCAGCAGGAAAATCTGTTTTTCAAAGGGAAGGGGTCTGTCCTGTTAGATTGTGTCCCGAGTCATCATCCGTCAAGACAAGACAAACAGACAAGCAAACAACAAACGCAGCGCTGAGACAAAGAAAGGGCCCATACCCAGATTCCTAGATTTACGAAGGGCAGTCCTCAATGGAACCCCCTACTTTACCAATGGAAGTCCTCAATCGAACCCCCTATTTTACCAATGGAAGTCCTCAATTGGATACCCTATTTTACCAATGGAAGTTCTTAATCGAACCCCCTGTTTTACCAATGGAAGTTCTCAATCGAACTCCCTATTTTACCAATGGAAGTCCTCAATCGAACCCCCTAGTTTATCAATGGAAGTCCTCAATTGGATCCCCTATTTTACCGATGGAAGTCCTCAAATGGATCCCCTATTTTACCAATGGAAGTCCTCAAATGGACCCCTATTTTACCAATGGAAGTCCTCAAATGGACCCCCTATTTACCAATGGAAATCCTCAATTGAACCCCCTATTTTACCAATGGAAGTCCTCAAATGGACCCCCTATTTACCAATGGAAATCCTCAATTGAACCCCCTATTTTACCAATGGAAACCCTCAATTGGACCCCCTATTTTACCCAATTTTCAGGTTTGATTCAACTCTCCGTTGAATACCTGCCCTAGACTGGAAGTCGAGGATGGCTCCTCGGTTCCCCAGGCCTGGCCTTGTAGGCACGTCTGCCAAGCTCTTGGCCTGTTACCCATATTACCTGCTTCTCTAGCATACATGGATTAGAAGAACATGCACTTAACAGACAAACATAAAACATTTACTCACCCAACTAGTTAGGATTGAAACCTTCAGAGTTGTGAGCCCTGGGAGGGTCTTGGGTTTCCCCGGTCAAGGAACCAAAATGTTGTGCCAGGTTCTCAGAGCCCAGAGACTAACCCAAGGAGTCAACACTCTGATGCAAAAGCAAAAGGTTTCTTTTTATTTCAAGCTGGCCAGCTAGGATCTCACTGCATAGCAGGCAAATGAGATGCCAACCAGCCAAAAAGAGAAGCTTTTAAAGGGGCAGACCATAAGGTTGAAGGCCACAAATTACAGAGTTCCCATGGTTACTTAAGGTCATACAAAGTACAGAGTTAGTCAGTAACTATACATTTTAAGGGAGATACATTTGACTGAGATAAGACAGGGCATGGGCTTGCAGAGTCACAAGGTCTGTCAGTTATCCCTCAGGCTGGGGGATCTTTATGATCAGCAATTAGCAAAGGAATGTTAACAGGAGTGGTGGACAGTTACCTCTCCTTCTCTGAGAGCAGGGGATCAGGCGCCAGTCATGCACTCCTGATTTAAGGAGTTAAATTTTCCTTTATCATTAGACGATCCCTTTCAGGGCCTAAGTTTTTAAACTTTTATTAATTTGAATTTTTGGTCCCTCAATACGGGGTTAGTCCATATCAGTGACTGCAGCCTGGGCTCTGGAATGTCTATTCAGGTGCCAGCCCATTTGCTGGAGCCTGGGATAGAATCAGGGCCAGACTTGGGGGTTCTCAAAGCTTTGTTTCCTGCAGTACTCTGGGACTTGGTACCCAAAGGCCATGATACACAACGGGAGCCTACCCAGTCACAAGATACCTGCCAAGATTTTCCCTGTGAAGGTGACATCCCTGGAAGGTGGAGACTTGGAGGCCAAGATTACGTTCTGGTATGTGACCCCTACCATGGGCCTCTGCAGTTGTTTCTATCTATTATTTGAGTTTGGGTAATTAAAAGATCCCCACCTTTGAGGGGACACAGTCTTAAGCAGTACCATAAAGCTGGGACATGAAATTTAGGGGATCACCTGACCAGGGCTGATCTCCCAAATGAGCTGAGAGGCCTCAGCTATGTTGATGAGAGCAGCCTGATTGTGCACTTGTGCTTTACAGGAAGAAGGGTCAGTGTCATGAGCATAAAATCGTGATGGAGAAAACCAATGAGCCTGGCAAATACACTACCTGTGAGTCTCCTGTATCTTAGGGTCTCCTGCAGTGACAAGTCCTTGCCTGGTCCAGCTTCTAGGACAGGCCACCCACTCACTTTTCATGAACCAGATATTAGCGGTCATTGGCTGGTCAACCCTAGAAACTGACTGCTTTTTGTTCCTCTGCCTAGTTCAGCTCTTGACCCACGAGAAACCAATTTCTTGGCTAAAGCCAGGAAAGGCAGGCAGTGAGATGCTCAGGCCTGGGTCCAACCTCAGTCCCCTTCTCTGAACTCCTTAGCTGGGCTTCGCAGCTCCCTGAAAAATGTCTCCTGTCTAGCTATGGGAACCACAGAAAAGTCAGGGCTAGGCTAGCTAAGTCTTCTGGGTGACCAGCAAAGTGTTCTAAGGTGTTCCTTCACATGGTTTCCAATGGTGTCTCAGAACCGAGACACTAACAGTTATTTCTGTTCATGTGCAGTTCATGGCAAGAAGTTCGTTTATATCATAGAGCTGCCCGTCAAGGACCACTACATTTTCTACTGTGAAAACCGTCACCATGGGAAGTCATTCAGCATGGGAAAACTCATGGGTGAGGAGCCATGTCCTGTTCCTAGTCTCTGCTTCCAGTAGCCATGAGAAAGGCTGCAAGCATGCCTAGCACTGGGGACTGGGAAGCCTCTGTTTTCTGGACCCAGGATGCTGCCCAGGAAATGTGTGAGATCCAAAGTGGAAAGTGGCTAAAACTGGGTGGGGCTTTTGTGGCCTTTGGAGATCTGAGCACTCAGGAGGGGTTCCCACTCCTGGAGCTAGCAAATGCCATTTCCAGGGATCTCAGACAGGAGTCATGTCAATTTCAAAGGGAATGTCTTGGCAGAGGCCTTTATGGTAGGTAGGATCCTCCAGAGGCAAGGAACAGCCTCATGTCCCTGAGATTCAGGGCTTTTACAGTCTGTGGAATGATTTTGTAGGCCTGAGGTGGTTCTTCCTCAGGCCAGAGGGTCACTTGGTGTCTGGGTGTCCACACAGCAAAGTTCCTCGTCCACTGCCAGGATCCTCTCTCAACCTTCGTGCTGGCTAGTGCTCCCATCCTGTGTCTCTGGCTGTCTGCAGAGCTGAGCCCTCCCCTCAAACCTGTCCTACTTCCACACAGGGAGAAAACCTGAGGAAAATCAAGAGGCCATGGAAGAATTTAAGAAATTCATACAGCGCAAGGGACTCAAAGAGGAAAACATCTTCATACCAGAGCTGAGTGGTGAGAGCAGGAATGCCCATGCCTCTCCCTGTGTCCCCTATGTCACTGCCCCCAAACCAGGTCTGTCTGTGTGCTGCTGTGTCCTTTCTGTGCCTGCTCTTATTGTCCCTTATGTGTTATTTTGTATCTCTCCATGTCCCCTGTGTCTCTGTGGTATCTCCACCATGTCCTCTGTGTCATCCACAACTCAATGCAACTAAGAAGACATTCTGTCCCTGTGTTCCCCAGTGTCCTCATGTACCTCCAAATTTCCTGTGCTTCTGCTTCATTGTGTACCCTGCTCTCTTTGTAACCCTGGTTTTGGTACTGTACCTTGCCAGGCCCTGCTTCAGGTCTTTGCAGTGGGAGGGTCTGAGCTGCAGGTGTGATGGGTTCTCTTACAGGGCCCTTCTCACTCCTGGGCCTCTTTTGGTTTCTACAGATGAGTGTGTTCCTGAAAGTAACTAGGGTAAGTCTCCCCTCTCCGCCCCCATTTGTAGGAATGTGGAAAAGCCTAGAATATCGGGCTCAGGAACGGGAGGATCCTCATCCCATCCACATAGACAGGTGTGGTCAGTAGAGGTGGCCCTGAGTGTGGTTTCCAGAACAGACAGGAAGTCCTTCCTTTTTGTCATTGTCTCTCCTAGTCCCTGGTCTCTGCCTTGTCCTGTCCTTGCCATTCTCTCCAAGGAGGCTGAGTCCTGGCTACACATGGGAGTGGTGCACGGATCGCTTCAGTGCCATTCTCTCTAAGGAGGCTGAGTCCTGGCTACACATGGGAGTGGTGCACGGATCGCTTCAGAGGGCCCCAGCTCCTAGCAGGAACCACACAGAAACCTAGGGAAGAAGATCTCTGTCCCATATCTGCCCTGGGCCATTCCTGTCCATGACTCCCCTGACTGCTGCTCCCACAAAAGTGGGGGACTTATCTCTCTTCTTCTCTCTACCATAGCAGCTACCCAGGTCTGCATCTGCTGAGCAAGCCTTGCTTCCAACAGCTGACTGGGACATCCCTGCACCACACCTCTCCTGAACCAAACTCCCCACCATTAAACCTTGGCCTCCCCCACCCCCACCTGACTCCAAATAAAGCCCTTTAGCAGTACCCTGGCTCAGCCTATCTGTGAAGGGCCTTGTGTGGGCTCTAAGAGCTCTGCTGGAAGCAGAGACATGGGAACAAGTGCAGTGACATTGTCCAACAAGGATGGACCAGTGCCCAAGGAGCATGGCATCTGACTTTCCCATAGAGCCATGTGAGGTCCTAGTGGTCCCCACCTGGTGAGCCACTCACTGTCAGGCTGGGCCCTGGAGGAGTGTCTGAGAAACCCCTGGGAGGCAAGGCTGCAGCATAAGCTGTCATTGGTGTTTTTTATTTTAGCTATTCTGACAGATGGTGTATGGTGGTATCTCAGAGTTATTTTGATTTGCATTTCCCTGATGGCTAAAGATGCTGAGCAATTTCCTTAAGTGTATTTCTGCCATTTGAGATTGTTCTGTTGAGAATTCTCTATTTATTCTGTACCCCATTTTTTAATTGGATTGTTTGGTGTTTTGGTAGCTAGGTTCTTAAGTTCTTTGTCTATTTTGGAGATCAGCCCTCTGTCAAATGTGGAGTTGGTGAAGATCTTTTCCCATTCTGTGGGCTGCCATTTTGTCTTGTTGACTGTGTTCTTTGCCTTACAGAAGCTTCTTAGTTTCAGGAAGTTCTATTTATTAATTGTCGATCTCAGTGTCTGTGGCACTTGTTTTCTTGATGGTTGTCATTCTGGATTGAGTGAGAGGGAACACCACTGTTGTTTTTATTTTCTTCTCCCTGATGGCAAACAAGGTAAATCATTGTTTCATATATTGTTGATGATTTATTCTATGATTTTGGAAATTCGTTGTTCAATTCATCTGCTCATTTATTGGTTAGATGAGTTGTTTGGTGTTAAATGTTTTAAGTACTTTGTATATTCTGTATGTCATGCCCTTGTTGTATGTATATCTGACAAAGATTCCCCCTGCCCTTCAGTGGGCCATCTCTTGGCCCTGCTGATTATTTCCTTGGGTGTGCAGAAAGGCAAATTTTAATTTCACTCAGTTCCACTTGTCTTGGGATTATTTCCTGTGTAATTTCAGTCCTATTTAGAAAGTCCTTTTCTCTGCCTATATCCTGTATCTTGAAGTGTTATTGCATTTTTCCCCTCTAGCAGTTTCAGGTCATACATTAAGGTCTTTGTCCCATTCAGATTGACGCTTGTACAGAGTAATAACCAAGGTCTAGTTTCACTCTTTTATGTGTAGGTATCAGTTTCCCCAACACAATTGATGATAGACTGTCTTTTCTCCGCTGTGTGCTTTGAGTACTTTTGTCAAAAGTCAGGTGGCCACAGCTATGTGTGTTTGAGTCTGTGTCCTGTATTCTATCACACTGATTGGTGTGTCTGTTTCTGTGTCAATACCATACTGTTTTTGTTACTGCAGCCCTGTAGTATAGTTTAAAACCAGATATTACAATGCTTCCTCCAGCATTCTGTTTCTTCTCAGGATTACATTTGTGCTGCTTTATGAGTTTTAGAATTATTTTCTGTTTCTGA